ACTGAATTACTTCCCAACTGAGAATATGGAATTTATGGTGTTTAGCAAGGAAAGTTAACATCGGTGAAGTCATGACTACCAGTGTCTACCCCCTCCTTTTCCCCAGACTCAGCAGTTAATTACAGCAATTAATTACATTTCTTTTGTGATGTATTGGTTTAGCCTAAGAACTCTAAAAGAAGGCTGCAAATTAAAAGAACACTTTTCCTTCAGGTACAATAATACAACTCCCTTGAGGATAATGAGGTCCTGACAGTTTGTTCTCTGGAAGGATTGATCCACATGAGGAGGTCATGTCTGTGTAACTTTCACCTAGACCAGCTAAGTAAAGCTGATGGATAATACCTGTCTGCACTCAAAACCTCCAAGAGCCAGATGGAGGCCCAGGAGAAAGACTATCTGAACATTTATCAAAACTTAACAGACTTGCTGACATTAACCCCAATGCATGTGGAAGTGATAGTTTCCAGTGTGGTTACCTGAGATTCATCCCAGCCTGTAAGGTAGATGTTATAGCTGAGAAACTCTGCATTATTCCTCTCCTGCATTTGAGCCTCCAGAGACTGCAAGAGGTCAGCAAACCATTCAAAGGCATGAGTGTCTCTGCAAAGCCAGTAAAAATAAATCTGGAAGAGACAAGAGGGAGCTGTCAGGGGACACAGGCATGTATGGTTTCTGGATATAAGTCTGCTGACAGAGCGAGGTTTGTAGACTTTTTGTAGAAATTCCCCTGACAACGTCAGTAGATGGGTAGGGAGGTATCAAAGCTATTCAGCAGTTTTGATGCTGGGAGGGTTGTGAAGCTGAATGATTGATTGACTGCAAGAACGAGGAAATATCTTTCTCTTTCTCTTCCACATTTTTAGCTCCCTAAGTTTCCCTGCTTACATCCTTGTAAAACAGTTTGTTAGGACATAAATTAATGATTTAGAGATAAACTCTCTGTCTGCTGGCAGGCAAGGTAAATTAAAGTAGATAACAAAACCAGTTCTGTTCTCTGAACATGACCACAATTGCCAAGTGTGACCCCACAGCTCCACACAGGGAGTTTCCAGGGGCAGAAGGGGTGAGGAGAATGGTAGCATTTCTCTTCCACTGACAAAAAGTTGTTCTCTCTGGGTTTAGGGAAGGAATGAAATATTTGCCCGGGCTGTATTTGTTCCTTGGACTTTGTGAGCAGATTGAACACCATCTCCACTGCAAGTGGAAATCCCCAGAGCCACAGTCAGGATTAGTATGTGTGCTTTTGCTTGGAGGCTATTTCTCCTTTTATTATATCTTTGCTTTTGACCCTCGTACTTCCCTCCTGATAGCCTTGTGAGCTCACTGAGCTCTTCTTGTTGGACTGGATCTGGAGCCAGATCACCTTTGCTGGGCCTGTTTCAGTTTGGGCTGTTGGCCCTTGAACAACTACATGGGTTCTGGGAAGAGGACACACCTTCTTGAGTTTCAGGTTGGTCGCATCATGGCAGTATTTGTACCAGACAGACTTGAGTACAGATGCAAAGGGGGTGACACCTATTCCAGCTCCAACAAGCATAACAGTTTCATAACTGAATACATCCTCACTTGCTGTTCCAAAGGGGCCATCCACAGCTACCCTGAAATGGAAGTATGCTCAATAAGTCAACAGTGAATATTATTAACACCACTTAAACAATAAAAGAGTATTTGTCTGCTGCAATGCATATTTGGACTGCTTACTAGTCAGCAAAAGGAGAGGTGGAGTTGAAAGAAAAACTGCAAAGAGCTATCTAAGACCAACATCTATGATGGAAGTTGTTAAGGTTTTATCACTGGTGCCACCAAACTGGTTGAGCAAAATTTAAACTCTCATAGGTGCTGGTTGACTTTACCACAGAAGCTCTTTGCACATACTTAGGCATCTTCCATGCCTCCTGGAATTCTTGTTTGTCACATCCACAGGCATTGAACAAGCCCTCTGTCCAGTCTCCTACAATACGGACATGAATGCTGAAGTAATCTTCTTCTGGAGCAGAGGTTAGTGTAAATGGGTGCCATTCCAGCTTAGACACTGCTGGACACTTGACAAAAATGTACTGTCCAACCTCCATCTTGAAGCCCTTTTTCATCATCTGGAGTTCAATTGTCTTGAAGGGATGAATGACTACCTAGAGGGAGAGGGGCAAGGAAAAAAATAAAGGAAAAGAAAAAGTCTGTCTTCACTGTTCACTGAATGTATCTACATCATCACTAACATCATCCTCTACTGTGAGATCAGAGAAAGAAGCTGAAACTTTCTTCCCAGAAGAACTGAGAGTGAGGAACAGCACCTGACAGCCAGATGAAAGCCTGCAGAAGATGCTGAGTTTTTGACTGAAGTATTTTCTCACACCATGCTTACAGCCACTCCAAAAGGGACAGGTCAGACTGGTGCAGCTTATAACACAACACCAGATCTATGTATGCACATTGTTAACTCCTTACACAGTGGCAAAGAGCACAGTGTTAATGGGCCTGACTGTAAATATAGGGGCAAAAATATAAGGCTGTCATACAGATAGGGAATTGGATAGGTAGTACCACTGGGAATGGCTGTTTTCCTGTAAATACTGGGTGGGTCCTCTACTATGGGCATTTGCATTCTGCCTATCTTTAACCAAGAATAAATAGAAGCAGTATTCTAGAAGAAAAGCTAGTAATTCTGTCACTGTGATTTTTTTAATCCTGAAGTTGTCTGCCAAGGCTATTTTCATTTTTCAAAAGAGACTTGCAAGCAGAAGAATCAAGTCTCTCTAGCTGTTAATATAAGTATCAATAATAGTGGTTCGGGTTGTTGAAGAAATTTTCTGCCAGCAGAATACTAAAGAGACATCATAGACATATGGTATAGAAATGGCTCACAGATATTTTAGTCAAATTACCAAAAGCACACTAGTATATAGGAACCTTCCATCATGTCAGCATTGTTCCAGAGCACAGTAGAGACATCTGCTGTGCTATGATATGAGCAGGGTGTGTTCACAAGATGCAGCACAGGAGCATGTGAGGAAATCACATTGGGAAAGGCCAGGGTGGTTTTTGTATGTTTGAGCTTAGTGCTGTGCTAATGTGGCTGTCAGACTTTCAGAACAGTGTTAATATCTCTGCAACACACCATGGAGAATGGAAGCTCAACATTAGCTTTTGGTGCATAAAATGGGCAGCCTCTCGCTCTCATTTTCACGAGTCATTTGTTCAGTATCTTAAATTACTCTTGTGTTCGTAGAATTTCTGCATTGTGGACTTTTTCACCCATTGCAAAGCAAATTTATTTGTCTTTCCTAAGATTCAGCCCTGTGCCTTATCTAACATGCACCTCCTGCTCCCTTTTAGAGACAGACTACAATTGGATGTTAGAGGTTAGCAGTCAGAACACTCACTGATAACTTCGTTGTGCAGGAGCCTCTGGCTTTGCTGCACCCTTTGGATAGAAGGTAATGTTTTGCCCAGCCTTGAGTGTAGCATCAAGACATACCTTTGTGATAACAACCTTCTGCTGTGACCTCCAAAACCGCACCAACCGCTCACACAGGTACAGGAACATGGGACCTACCACCCACTTCCATGTCTGTAAGCAGAACAAAATACGTTAGATGAAGGTCCTAGAATAATAGAATCAAGTTTTGGCTTGGAAGGGACCTTGAAGATCACCTAGTCTCAACCCCCCTGCCATGGGCCCCTTCCAATAGACTAGATGGCAACTTAGATTAAATCAAATCCTGGAAATGCTATAAGCAGAGATCAAGTTCAAGTAATCTAAGGTCCTTATTAACCGGAGTAGGGAATGCCTAAGATACATGACACCTTCAAAATTCTGGTCAGAGAGGGAATTAATTTTGTTATTGAGAGTTCCAGCTGATTTTTCAGGTTGTACTAGAGTTACACCAAGGTATTTTCCTATGAGTAATTTTGTTTCTGTCTAAGCAATAAGGTAACTAAGTGAAATGTGGATTAAAGCTCTGAATGTATATTGACTCAGATCTGTATAACTGCAGGAAAAGATGTGGTTTCTGTTAACAGATCAGTCTGAAATGTGAACAAAATACCAGCCTAGTTAGTCAATAAAAGCTGAAGTTTCAATGTCATATTTCTAGAGACATTAATTTTCTGTTAATGATCATTAGTCCATGAATAATTTGAAACAATTTTTATGTGATTCTACAAAACCCCAGAAGCCACTGTTTACTTTTTGGATAAACAGTTCTCAGATACCATTTGCTCTTTTGCTTTGCCTGTTAATTGTGCTCACTTTACAGCACACTGGAAGTCTGTCTGTCTGTCTGTAGTTCATTTCTGCTTATAATCTGTTGTATTAGAATCTATTGCTTCGTGTAAAGAAATCTCCACTGAGGGTTGCATAGCTGTTTTTCTGTGCAAATGCATATATTAATTAAGAAAAAGAGTAAACTCTAAACACTTTTTGACTGGATTTACATTCAATCCAACTGTTCTTACCATAGGAGGATTCCCTGCAAACTGGGGGATTGGGCAAGCTCCCTTCTTCCCCCAGAGAGTGAAGTTCTTGTAGCAAATCTCTGGGTTATGTTCAGCCAGACTCTCAGCTGTCTGCCCCCGTACGATACGCCTGGAAAGAAAGAAAGATCATTAAGGCGATGAAATTGCAATTAAGGTATCTGTCCCTTATTGTTCTTCTATTTATGTACTACTCTATTTGCTTGGAGTCATGGATTCTGCAGTGCCACAGATTTGATACAGCTTTACTGCTCTAATCAACCTACAAAATTGCTATTAAAGAAACGAAAATGGGGAGGAAATTTTTTGGGAGAAAATACTCATTTCAAGATTAAGTGAGGAACTGAGAGTTATGTCCATTCCCATTCCCAGGACGTGGTCACAATAGGAATGATTAATTCTTTTCTGAGTTATCCTACTTTTTGCTTCAATAAAAATTCCAAAAAGCCTAGAGTGGGCAAGCAATCAATTTCCTACTGACCAGCACAGAGCTTATTTCTGTTGTTCATCTCAGAAATTTGGAGAACCCCTTCCAACATGCATTCTCCCTTTGACTCTTCCTCTAAAGCTGTGGAGAAGCCATTCAGATGGTGTGAATGAACACAGATGCTTCTGATGCAAAGCAGCTATGCCAGCTCTGCCAGCTTGCACCAGCTGATTATCTGGCCTCTATATTCTTGCTTGGTTTGGGGTTTTGCTGCTGTTGTTGTTTGTTTTATTATAAAGAATCCTGAGTGATCCAGTGCAGCTGTATTTCCAGTGGCAGAACTAGTGCTGGGAGACAGATTCAGTTTTGAGAGGGAAAAGTATATTCTGATATGTCCCTCTTTCCTGCCTCTGTCTGGAGTTCTGCCAAGCTCAGGGGCATGTGAGAGACCCCAGAATGTTGATAGTTAGTAGATGAGGATCATAGTAGGTTAAGATCTGCTGATTTTCCCCAGAAACAGTTTGATTCTGAGCAGGCTGTTCAGTTTTATGCCAATATGATTCTGTTGATATCTTTTTCCCATGACTTCTCTTTCTGCTCTTCTAGCTCAGTTTCTGTGAACTAGACTACATTTCTGGTATTTTAAAAAAATCCCCATGGTATCTAAGTCACATGCATGCCTAGCTTTAGGACACAGATTTATCAGAGGATTATTAGAAAGCCTGTGCCCAGTTTTGGAAGTTGAGATACTGTACTGCTCACAAATATTGCTAATGAACCTCTTCCTCATTAAAGATTTGATTAATATCCTGTCTGAGAAATAAAGGAAGCAGTGACACTGTCCCAGGAGCATCACGAGTTGTGATTTGCAGGAACATCAGCAGCTGCAGTTTACTTCCCCAGTAATGACAACGGTTTCAGCTGAGCCTTCCCCTGGGATGAGTTACAGGAACAGGAGGAGCCCATTTCCTCCAGTGCTCACCCCATTGCTCAAGGAAAAGGGGGCCTGAGGGCTTTTGCCTTGCCCTGTTCAAGGTTTGACAATGTCACTACCTTGTACAAGAAAAACAAAAACTTTACTTTCCCTTATTATTCACTATAGATGCTCTTCCAGTAGTGTAATTAAGCTTTCAGTGGTATGGCCTTATCATTGCATTTTTTTCTTAGCTGAAAATTTTTCTTTACTTCCAAAGCAGAGTCCACTGCACCTCTGTACCCACTCCTCTTTACACTTACTGTGGTGGGAAATTTGGCACATCTGCCTGTGACACATAGCTCATGTACAAAAAACATAAGTACTACAAAAGCGCTGTAACAGCTTGTAATGGCCAAGAATCATCACAGAATCACACAGTGATAAAATGGTTTGGGTTGGAAGGGACATTAAAGATCATCTAGTTCCAACCCCCCTGTCATGGACAGGGACACCTTCTGCTAGGCCAAGTTGCTTCAAGCCCCATCCAACCTGGCCTTGAACACTTCCAGGGATGGAGCAGCCACAACTTCTCTGGGCAGCCTGTGCCAGTGCCTCACCACCCTCACAGTAAGGGATTTCTTCCTAATGTCTAATCTAAACCTATCATCTTTCAATTTGAAACCATTCCCCCTCGTCCTGTCACTACATGCTCTTGCAAATAGTCTCTCTCCCTCTTACTTGAATCTGCCTCTTTGATTCTATTAATAACCTTTAGTTCACTTTTCTGTATATACAGATACGTATACAGTATTATATGCACATGTGACACAGTCTTCTGTCTCCTGAGATAAACACACATCAATGCCTCTTTTTAACATGCTTCTTTGAGACTTCCAGTTCATGCTCATTCCATAAAATCCATCTTTGCACACCTAAGATGCTTTCCTTGAGGGTAATGAGCCTCTCTCGTATTTCTTAGTGTGTTAGTATTTTTTCTAAACTCAAAATGCCATTATTGCCTTTACAGTCAAATAAGTGAGGTCACTGAGTTTAGAGCCAGAAAGCATCCTTCCCTCTACAGATAATAACATTCCTGTGTTTATTTCCTTCCAAAGAATAGGTGCACTTCTCTGAAAACCACATTCTACCCCACTGCTGCCCAAACTCTTGTCTTTTCAGTTTGGTACAATTTAAATGGTGGAAGTATACTGAACATCCAAGTAAATAAAGTCAACTTTTATGAAATACTTGCTCTTCACTCACCTCTAGAAAGAGCAACACTTGCTTTGTGATACTACTGGCAAGTTTGGACATTGTGTCAGTAACTATACCATATTTGCTGCAGAAAACATGAACCACTTGTTCTTTTTCTTCTTTCTTCTTTCTCAACTC